ATTATAAAACATGGAATAGTTTGAATTTGGGTTAGGGTTGTTTGCTGTGTCCTTTTTTGTTAGAAAGAGAGTGCTTTTAAGTCTAGTCAGTTATTTATATATGTATATATAAGCATTGCTTTAAAAATTCGATTTATACTTTTTCGCTTTTTTTAAGGCATAAGAATTTTTCAGTATTTAATTAGAGTATGAGATACGATCTCTTATCACATTTCCGTGTTTGTTTAGTCATTTAAAAAATCAAACACGTTGATATTAAAACAATTGAAGTATTTCAAAAAGAAAAATGCTTTGTAATTCTACAAAAACGATTTAATAATGAACATTATAATTGTCTCAAAAACTGATTAGGTATTTGACAAGAGTACGTAGTAATGATACCAGTATGGTTGGGACAATCAAAATTGGCAAATGCTGCAATAAATTATCAGTTAGAATGGATGTATCTTCTTTCTTGCTTCCACTTGGGATTGTAGTCATTTGATGCGTTTCGAGCACGCCCTTGCTAAGGTAGGAAATGTTTCATGAGGATTACAGACAAAGTGAATAGAGATAAGCGAGTGATAGTAAGTGATGCAGCGGTTAGAGGTTGCTTAGGCCAGAGCTGGGCAAACTTTAACTTCGTAGGAGACGCTACCTTAGGTTAGTTTGGGTCACTCCATGCCCTTCATTGAGTACGTGAGAGTAAGCAGTAATCACCCATATTGCTTTCTTTTTTCTTCTGCCTTCCACTCCTTTATCAAGCCCCTTCATCCCGTAGACGAGCGAAACCTCTCTCGTAACTTACAAAATACCTACGAAATTTTTTTTAATGATCGTCCCGCAGCTCAGTAGTAGCATGCCGGACTACGTTCGCAATACTATTGGGTTCGGCTATGGAAGAGGGAACTCACCTACGAAATGGAAGGGATAAGAAAAGGAAAGAATCATCTCACTCGCACTTGCAGGAGCAATGAGGAGTTCCTTGGCTATACCTGACGAGCACTCTGGAGTCAAAAGAGCCGAGTTTGCCCGGCCCTGGCTTAGACAGGCAAATGTCAAGGCCGACTTTATAACTGCGTGGTTGGAATTATATCCTTAAACAAGTGTCTTTGCTTTCCTAAATTTCTGAGAGTGTTGAACTTTCTTTAAAGTCTGATGCTGGTAACAGTCTCAAATTCTGCTTGTCTGCATCTCTTTCTGTTACACATTAATTGATGTAATGTTATTGCTTTTTCTTTGTTAGTGGCCGCTGCAATTCCTACCTGGCATCTCTCTTCCATGTTTACGATATTCCCCACAGTGTCTATCGTGAGTAACAGTGGAAATTCTGTCAGCAACCGCTCTAGTATCTTTAGTAAGTTGAAAGAGAAAAAGTAAATGCGATTATGCCAATTTTAAACATCCCAACTATAAGAATAGTTACAGTAAATATTTCTCCATGTCTAACAGTTGGTATCTTCAGTGTTCTGTTTGCAGGGGTAGCTAGAGACGTATTAGAAGTAGAAGCAGAAGTTAACAGGGATGGAAGTAGACCTTGACTAGATTACTGTTCGTAATGACCGATGTAGCTACTAATGCTGGACATGTAAATCAAAAGTCTCGATTCGATCTAAGTCGTAAAAACTCATCTTTTTGAGATAAGGTCCCTTAAAGTTGCATTCTTTCATAAGGACTTCAAAGGTGCAATTATACCTACAATACGTATTATATTGAATACGTTTTAGTATCTATGTACATATGCGTACATTGATGTTGATGTACAATTTTAAGAATGTGCCATGGTTTTGGACCAGCAACATTGTAATAATTACATCTCAATTTCATAGCGTACTTATGGGTAAAGAAAGTTGGTTTGCTTAGAGGTGTAATAAGACACAACAACACCTACATTTGAATGTATTCAATAAGTTCAACTGAACCTTAGAAGTCATTACAAAAGAATGTAACTTTAAGGGCGCATATCTAAAATAGACGAGTTTTTACGACTTAGCGCCCATTGAGTTTTTTGATCTATACATCGAGAACTACCAGAATCCAAAGTTTTAAAGAGTTTAACTGAGAGCCATTTTCCGCAAGGATTTAGCAGGATGTTTTCTGGGCGGGTTCGGATAGTACCTAATAAAATACAATCTTGCATTTGACAAATAATTTTAAACATTATTATGCCATCATTGTTCCTCTTTTTACATAAATTATAGTTCTTGTAAGGCTTATATCCTGGCAAACTCCAATAAACGTAGATGCCTCACTGTTACTTAATTCACTAAAGCTACAATAATTTAGAACTATCTAAACTAAGTAACAAAAATCACCACAGGGATTACTGTACATTAGACCAAATAGCAATTTCTTATATTTTGCTATTATGTACTACACCTTCAGTGTCGACTCGCTTCTTATTGATTTCCATTTGTATTTGTTGAAAAGATTTTCCTTTGGTTTCGGGTAACAAGAATATGGTAAAGAAAATGCCCAAAATACAGCATACGCAGTACATCCAAAAAGAACCATATAATCCCCAAAAGTTGTTCAAAGGTTCGTATGACATTTGAACGAGAACAGCAATAGGAGCCAGGATTGCTCCTACCGTTCCTATCGCAATACCTTTGACATTGATTGGATACAGTTCAGAAGTGACGACCTGCGGTATGGGACTAATACCAACGGCAATGAATATTTCATAAACGACTAGACTAGTCAATGGCAGCCATGTCACAACCGCCATATTAAAAGATTTCGTTTCGTTAATGTAAAAGTAGGCCCCAAGAATAAACATAGAAATCGCACTGACGATGCAAGAGGTAAGTAAAAGGGGCTTCCTTCCCAATCGATCCACCACTTGGCCAGAAAAAAATACTAAAATTTAAGTTTGCTTAATGCTAGTGTTCCATTTAGCATATTCGCAAATTATGATCACTCACCAGCAATGATGTTTACTATTCCAAAAATCAAACTTGAAAGATTGGATGATATTGAGCTTTCACTTGCGTTGAGTATTGTCTGCAAATACGATCTTATGATCGAGCTACCAGACATGTATAAAAGCATATTTAAACCTAAAATGGAAAAAACAATTTTACCAGCGACATATTAAACGTGATGTAGTTGGGACGTCGGTGCTGCGGAAAAGAAAAGGCTAGAAGCGTTCGAAATGTGGATACCGTGGATAGAGAAGATTGGAAATGAAGAGGTATTAGAAAGAATAGGAGAACAGAGGACTCTATGGAAGTCAATGAGAAATAGGCGAAATAAGTTAGTAGGATACCTTTTTAGCCATGAAGGTCTACTCGAAGACATATTAGAGGCAGAAACAGGAGTTAGGAGGGGTAGAGGTAGTCCTAGATTAGATTACTGTTCGCAAATAGGATGTGGGTTGTTCTAGTTTTAGGGAAATGCGAAGTTTATCTCAGGATATGAGGAATGAGTGGAGGTACGTGTTCAACCAGTTTTAGAACTGACGACCTTATAATGATGATGAAATAATGATTTTTAGATAACCGTTAAAACTTATGAAGAAGATAATATTGTTATTATGTATACTTACAACCATGAATACATATACATTTAATGTATTTCCCACTGCAAAGAAGTTCATTAATTGATGATTTATTTGTCATATCTTTCTGTACAGATTCCATGATTTCCTCCAGTCTCTTATTGACAAATTCTTTATCAGAGGAGTTGCTCGCTAGTTTCCATACTATTGCTTCCGCATTTTTATGTTTATGTTTTCTAATGAGGAAATAGGGCGTTTCCGGAATCAGTAGAAGGCAAATAAATGCAAATACTACCGTACATATTGCTATAATTGCAAAAATTCTGTAGGATACGAAAGGACCTATCACCAGTCCGATAACAGATCCGCAAGTGCTTGATAGAACATTAAAATAACCCATTCTACCTCTATTATCGTTGTCGGCAATTTCTCCAATGTACATTGCTGATATCTAGAAATTTTAAACTTTAATTAATATAATTACTACCTACCGGAAAATGATCATTATTGACAACGATAAGAAATTTATTCATGTCAAGTGTAAAGTTATATCGATATGGGTTTAGCCGCTTCCAGAATTAGCACATATGGACAGATAGACTTTATAAGAGCAGAAACGACCATATGACCTTGAAATAAATAGTATGGGATATGTACGGATTCACTTTTTGACATGAGGGAATGCCGTAGGTGATCGATACTGGCGGCATCTTTGATGTGCCCGAACGCCGACAGCTGCGGCTCATAAATGATACTGCGAATAAGGCTGGCACTAAAAGGAACTTACGAGAAGTTTCGAGAAATAATCAAGAATATTCCAGGACCGCTTAGTGACTTGCATTTGTTGGACCGTTGGACAATAGTGGAATAAGAGATATAATAATCAGTAAGAATCAGTTGATCTTATAGATCATGCTTTAATTGATTTGTGAAATTGAAGAGGAAATTAGCTGAAAGGACTGCATTTTATAAAACTTCAAAATAAGTTTTTAAAATAATATTCATTTTTGTAGATTTAGATTCTTTAGATATTTTTTTGCGAAGTTTAGCACCGCTAGTTCTTCCGATAGAAATTGCTTAAGTTCTAAAATGATATTACAATCCGATTCGATTCATTTAATCTACAATTGTAAATTACGAGCGTACATAGGACAAAAAATGAAACTGTCGAACTTGCTTAACTTATATTAAAACAAAATAAAATTAAACTATCTAAATATCCCAATTAATATATCTTTATAAACATACGGCTGAGGCGGCGGATCGATAACGTCGCTATCATCTGGTGAATAAGAAGCTCAATTAAATGAGAGACACGTAACTGCTTAGGCACAAAGCTGCGACAAAAGAAACTACGGGAAGGTTCCGAAAATAATCGACAACTAAGAACATATTTGATGACTGCATAAATAGGAGGTAACATTCGATAGAATACAGAGACATGCGTTTTAAATGTTAAAACTTCAAAAAGCAAAATGTTTCTCGTTCCTAAAATGTTGCAGACTGACGGACCTAACATGAAAATCAATTTAAAATCGAATTGATCTGTAAGAAGTACAATAACTTACATGTCTACAAATGATTGCTCCCATTCCAGCAATAATCCTTCCAATATACAAGGGAATTGGACCACGAGCAAAGATTATAAAAATCCAAGAAATTAAATTTAATACAGTTCCAGCAATCAATGTTGCTTTTCTGCCAATAAGATCAGGTGGATGTATTGAAACAGCGCTTCCCAAGAAGAAACCAAGGGTGTAAAGACTTACAACAAGAGCAGCTTCCATCTGGAATATGTTAAAATGCATTCCTAATTCTTTTCATTTAACATTAACATGTTTTCTGCGACTACTGCATTATTTCACTTACGGTAGTTAATTGAACTCCGATCGGAGAATCTTCAGATTCCAGTTGAGGGATAAATGGAGAAGTCCATGATCCATGAATTTCAGAGGCAGTCACGCATACCAATGCTGATAAGAAGATTACAAAATATTATACTGCGGTAATAATATTGTGAAAGTTTAAGGAGGTACAGAAGTCAGACAAAAAAAATATTAAAAAACTAAGTAGGTTTTATGTGCCAAAGATCATCGATGACTAAGTAAAACTAATCTTTTTCTATCCTTCGGGAACAGTACTTTTTTTGGATAAAGGGTACCCTATGTCCCTCCCTGTACCCCTGACAATATCTCTACAAAATTTTATAATGATCCGTTGACTAGTTAAGGGGTGAAATAGTAGCAAACAAACAAATAAACAGACGAACAAACGAGAAAACAAACATTCCCATTTATAACATGAGTTAGGATGGGGAATGCGATTTTACGGATAAGACAGACAGTTGGAGAAAAGAAAGTACAAAGGATATCAAAGTAACAATGTTACGAGGGTCAAGAAGGTAGATACGTTATAAAGTCAAACACAAGCGAATTTACCTATGGGTCAGTTACCATAATAGAGTACGTTCTTAATGTAGTTTACCTAATTCTTAATTAATTAATTAATTTATCTTTAATACAGTTTACAATCAAGTACGTACTAAAGGGAGGAATAGGGAGTTCGAACCAGTACCAAAATAATTATTACGAACGAAAAATCAAACATTTTTTTCAAAAATGCTATTTTTTCTGTAATCAGCATACATCTCCAATTAAGTAGGTAAATAAATGTAAGGTGAGAGTAATGATAACATTCGAAAGCAGGAAATGTGATAAATAACTTACCAGCAATGCAGTACATGTATTGTCTGTACCTCCATTTGGAAATAACCTCCTGTAACATTACGCTTAGGGTAGGTACCTATAAAAGTAGTTCGTTTGAAACGGTTAACTGCTAAGACCGTTCTAAACAAAACTTAAAAAAATTACCTGTTAAGGTACATTCCAAAAACGCATTGTACCCCTCTTAACGTGTCGATTTATCTGATAAAAAGAGAGTACTTTTATGTATATCAATCTTCAGCCTTCTTACACAATTATTTTATCTTTTATGGCATCAGATTTTTTTTAATATATGTTATAGTATGAAGTGGAACCATTTATCAAACATCAGTGTTTGCTTGATCATTTGAATTATTTGAAAAGCGAGGATTTTGAAATAAAAATATTTGAAGGACCTTATACCTAAAGAAACAAATGTTATACATATGTATATATGTGACTCTTTAATTATTTCGACTTATTAAAGTTTATGTCAAGAGAATATGGAAATAATATACATTATAAAGCATGTAAGAGTTTGGGTTTGGGTTAGGGTTGGTTCCTAAGTCCTTTGCTTAAATGAAAACGTTTCGCCATGCTTATTAGCAGATGATATCTTAAGTACGTTCCGCATCATGATCATCGGTGACATGATAAATAATCAATAATTAACATAAAGAAACTTCCGGTTAGTAAGACAGATGTGATAAAATGTGCTAGGCCTTCTCTGTTTTCGAATTTGCCGGTATACCTATACTTATATAAATATATATGGTTACAGAGAATATGTATTATGCGTAATAACTATCTAATTCAGACTTGGTTAATAAAATAATCTAGCTATTGTTCAGAATATCTGCTAATATGAAGATAAGTGGTAAGCAAGACTAATAACAAGACTGCGACAGTATTGTTGTAAAGCTGTCTAGCTTATTGTTGTTAAAGGTGTATGTTGGAGTGCGGCGCTGTACGGGTGCGTAACATGGACGATGGGCGTGGAAGAAAAGGAAAGGTTTTAGAAGCGTTCGAAATGTGGTGTTACAGGCGAATGATGATGACACCGTGAATAGAGAAGGTTAGATATGAAGAGGTGTTAAAATTAACAGATGAATAGAGCACTCTATGGAAGTCAATAATAAATAGGCGAGAAAGGTTGGTAGGACACCTTCTAAGTCATGAAGGTCTAGTCAGAGACGTATTAGATGCAGAAACAGTAGGTTAGGAGGAGTAGAGGTAGACCTAGATTAGATTACTGTTAAGTAAATATTTAAGGATGTGGGATGTTCTAGTTTTAGGGAAATGGGAAGATTAGCTCAGGATAGAAAGGAGTGGAGGTGCGTGTACAAGTAGTCCATGTGCCCACATCATCATAGACAACAGTTTTTTTGACAAAATGACAATTAGTTGAGTAATTATGTAGGCTTTTAAGTAGTATAAACCCTGAGCCCCACAAATTCTCAATCTGCCCCTGAGCAGAATTGGACCGAGTGTCGCAAAATATACCCTACTTCAGAGCCGGGCAAACTTTAACTTCGCAGGAGTCGCTACATGAGGTTAGTTTGAGTCACTTCATACTCTTCAATGAGTACGAGAGAGTAAGCAGTAATGAATAATTTTGTATTGTCTTTTTCTTCCCCCTTCCACTCCCATATCAAGCCCCTTCATCCCGTAGACGAGCGAA